CTGCTACCCCATTCAAACCAAGGATATTTCGACAAACTAGCAACAGGCGTGTTTGTACCCTCTGCTTCCGAAAACCAGATGCGCGTCGAGTGCAGACCACACACCACAAGTGACGACGGCCTCACAAAATGTAAATGTTTTCTGCCAATGAAATGATTAGCCTGTTGCAGTTGTATTCTATCAGTTGTCACTAATTACAACTATCATTTACCAACTATCAGCTATCACTATGAACCACTAACCAGATTTACTTGGAGGCCGTCGTCACTTGTGGTGTGTGGTCTGCACTCGACGCACATCTGGTTTTCGAAAGCAGAAGATAAGTGAATAATCCACCGAGAGAATTACTACTGCCAGTGTAATAATCAACTATATTCGAAGAAATCAGGTGAAAAAAACATAGCCAGAAAGTGGTCACAAATTTGCTTGACAGGAAGCTTCCTTGTTTTTGAACGCGTTAAATTCCATCCGACGGACCGCAGCAAGAGCAAATTGTAACTATGAAATGAAATTCATAGCGCAGTATTTATAACCATAATTGTTTCTCGAGTTGAACATCTGCTGTGAAATTATTGCGAACTGATGCTGCGACCTTTTTTGCAGTTGTGCGGCACAGGCTATTTCGCGTAACTTCCCAGTAAACTGAAAGCAGTCTTATTACCAGTATCAATATCTAATATGGCTAGTGTAAAGCACTTCCTAGAGTGCGCCAAACTCAAATTTCAAACCTACACTTGTAGAAGTTGTGCCGGGCCTGGACCATGGGCTTAATTTCTTTCACGAATCCCTCTGTATTTTGCTAATAAGAGCGCAGTTAGTAGGATCAAGGCCTCGAAAACCGTACCAAGTTGGGGAATAGAAGGCTCCTATACCTGTGGTATCACTAAAAGTGGAAGTAAAGTAAGTGGGACACAGTAATTCCTAAAGGTATCCATTACAAAGAAGCAGCGAGCAAATACACTCAACCAATACGTATCAAAAAAACCCGAAGACAAGCACTCTTCCCGCCTTTTTCCCTCCCAACAGTCACCGGTCATGCCTCTAGTGGTCGTAACTACTGCTACCTGTTACCCACCAACCTACCCTCCATCTCCAAAATGGCTGATGAACAAGAAAGTGCATAAAAATATCCATATTCGCCGAAACAGCAGAAATCGTGGAAAAAGAATCAGCAATTCACTCAAGATCTCCTCCTCTAGCTGAAGAGTTTCTCTTTCCATCTTCGCTTGAAATCAAACATTTCCTTTCCTTCGAATCATTTATGGGATCCTCTCGGTGAACTTTGCTCAGCCGGTGGGTGACCCTGT